TTTCTGTGTCTTCGGTGAGGGCCCACAGAACGTCTCAGAAGCCTGGAGGACTTCCGAGCCTTCTGAGAAAGCCCGCCCCCTGTCGGGCCATACCTCCGCTCGCCGGCGCCCGTCCGGGACGATCTGGGCACCCCCGGAACGCTCCCAGCGAGGCGCGGCTGCTGGAACGCAGCCCCAGGCTGGAAGACCGCCCAAGCCCGACGAAACCGCCCGATGTTCCCCCCCGAGCCCAGACCCCCGACGTCATGATTTTCTCATGACGTCGACCCCCAGAGATCTGGACCCCTTCCCCGGGGCCGGTTTCTCCTCCCGAGTGGTCCTTTGACGGCCCCGAGGCCCGTGGAGGGCCCCTAGAACCCACGACTCCCAGGCTCCCCCCCGCGCGCGCCGCCGATCTCGCCCTCGTGGATGGGGCGTGGCTCGATGGGGGGGTCATAAACGGGGGGGTCAGAAACGGTCCCATTTCGTGCCCCTCTCGGGCCCCTCCGGAGCCCCAGGGGGCTCGTTCAGGTACCGTTTGGGTACCTTTTCGGACCACCCTCGCCACCCCCCTATTTGTGACCCCTCCATTACGCAACGCCCAAGTGGAGCCTCGACGAGCGCGCCCGGGAGCTCCAGCCGCTCCGCCCCGAGGCCGCGGGCCTGGCAGGCGGCCAGGAAGCGCTCCACCGCCGACGCGCCCTCGGGCGCCTCCTCCCCCGGCGGCTGCCCGCGGGTGCTCCGGCGGCGCTCCGCAAGGGGGCAGAAAACAAACCCTGACCCAGACCTGCTCGCGTCGTCGAAAAACCGGGGCCTCCTCCTCCTCCTCCTCCTCCTCCTCCTCCTCCTCCTCCTCCTCCTCCTCCTCCTCCTCCTCCTCCGCCTCCTCCTCCTCCTCCATCCCCTCCTTCTCCCCATCCTCCTCCTCCTCCTCCTCCTCCTCTCCTCTTCCTCCTCCTCCTCCTCCCTCCTCCTCCTCCTCCACCTCCTTCCTCCTCCTCTCATCATCCTCCTCTCCATCCCCTTCTTCTCCATCCCCCCTCCTTCTCCCCCTCCCCCCCCTCCTCCCCTCCTCCTCCTCCTCCTCCTCCTCCTCCTCCACATCCCTCCTCCTCCTCCTCCTCCTCCCCTCCTCCCTCCTCCTCCTCCTCCTCCTCCTCCTCCTCCTCCTCCTCCTCCTCCTCCTCTTCTTCTTGTTCTTATTATTATTCTTCTTATTATTATTATTCTTATTATTCAAAGTAGTCTTCTTATTATTATTATTCTTATTATTATTATTCTTAGTATTATTCTTCTTATTCTTCTTATTATTCTTATTAGTATTATTATTATTATTCTTATTCTTATTATTATTCTTATTATTCTTATTATTCTGATTATTATTATTCGTCTTCGTCTTCGTCTTCTTATTATTCTTATTCTTATTAGTCTTACTAGTATTCTTATTGTTCCTTCTTCTTCTTATTCTTCTTATTATTCTTCTTCTTATTATTATTATTATTATTTTTCTTATGCGTCTTCTTATTATTCTTATTATTATTATTCTTATTAGTATTCTTATTATTCTTATCCTTATTCTTATGATTATTAGTATTCGTATTATTCTTCTTCTTATTCTTATTATTATTATTCGTCTTCTTCTTCGTATTATTAGTATTCTTCTTCTTATTCTTCTTAGTATTCTTATTATTATGCTTCTTCTTCTTCTGTTTCTTCTTCTTTTTATTCTTCTTATTATTATTCTTCTTCTTCTTTTTCTTCCTCCTCCTCCTCCTCCTCCTCCTCCTCCTCCTCCTCCCTCCTCCTCCTCCTCCTCCTCCTCCTCCTCCTCCTTCTCCTCCTCCTCCTCCTCTCCTCCTCCTCCTCCTCCTCCTCCGCCTCCTCCTCCTCCTCCTCCTCCTCCTCCTCCTCCTCCTCCTCCTCCCTCCTCCTCCTCCTCCTCCTCCTCCTCCTCCTCCTCCTCCTCCTCCTCCTCCTCCTCCTCCCCTCTCCTCCTCTCCTCCTCCTCCTCCTCCTCCTCCTCCTCCTCCGCCTCCTCCTCCTCCTCCTCCTCCTCCTCCTCCTCTCTCCTCCTCCTCCTCCTCCTCCTCCTCCTCCTCCTCCTCCTCCTCCTCCTCCTCCTTCCTCCTCCTCCTCCTCCTCCTCCTCCTCCTCCTCCTCCTCCTCCCCCTCCTCCTCCCCTCCTCCTCCTCCTCCTCCTCCTCCTCCTCCTCCTCCTCCTCCTCCTCCTCCTCCTCCTCCTCCTCCTCCTCCTCCTCCTCCTCCTCCTCCTCCTCCTCCTCCTCCTCCTCCTCCTCCTCCTCTCCTCCTCCTCCTCCTCCTCCTCCTCCCCTCCTCCTCCTCCTCCTCCTCCTCCTCCTCCTCCTCCTCCTCCTCCTCCTGGTCCTCCTCGGGAGGTTTCGCGTCGTTTTCGACCGAGATGGGCCCTGGCCAGAACCCAGGAGCGTCGAAGAACGACTCGGGAGGAAAAGCTGGCCCTGGGGCAGAGGTCGACCAGGACGCCGCAGGTCCCAGGAGATCCTGGCCCTGCAATACATTATGCCGTGGCGTTTCCCCTCAGTTTCCACCTCTAGACTTAGGTCGGGCATGTCCCCCCCACAGGGGGATTTTGGATAAAAAAAAAGGCTATTGTTTGACTATGTTGGACTTTTCCTCCTGTAGAGAGACAGGCCCGACTCAACTCTGGACCCCCCCTGAGCTCCGCTCTTCTCCCGCAAACGCAACCCCGACCCCAGGAGTCGTGGTGCATCCTCCAGAAGGCCTGGGCGGCCGGGCGAGAAAAAAACCGAGCGCCGCGCGTGGACAGCCGGCAGCAGGAGCGGGGAGAGGTGTGGCAGCACAGGATTGGATGAACGTTTTTGGGCTTGAGCCAGAGAGGGTAACAGTACACCGAGCACACACTGCAACTCGGTAGGACGATCAAGGTAAAGATCTCAAATGCTAAACCTAATACGTAAATTCTGGAGATCAGTCACACCCGTCTGACTTCTCCTAGGTTTAGCACCCTCTTGGGCTCAACTAAAAGCAACTATCCGTTCCTGCGCTGGAACGGCCCCCTTCTCTACTTGAACGGAGAGGGGATAGCAAATAGCGGAAACTGCACACGAGAAAATTATCACTGAAAGAGCGGAGATGGCAAGGGCAAACTGCACGTAGATGATTCAGCTGAGGAAAGGGAGGAGGGGGGAGGAGAACCGACACCACCACCACTACCACCACCAGCAGAACTTCCCGACAGGAACTGGATCCATGTAGGCTGTGACTCTCGGGCAAGTTCCTCTCTCGAAGCTGCTTGTGATCGACTCTTGAGCTGCGGCTCGGAGCGGCGTCTCGCCACCTCTGAACTCTCGTCGACCAAAATCAGGCGACCATGGGACATTAAATCGAACAAAGCGGCATTGCACTTCGTGACGTCCTCCTTGGTGAGAGCGTCCACTGGCATCCGCCCGTGCGGGATCCAACGGACATGGCCACGCGCACGCTCCAGAGACTCGCAGATAATGGCAAGGTCAATGGCTGTGCGCCTGTCCCGCGCGCACGCATTGCCCTCCTTCTGCATTGTATCATAGATCGACTTGGCGTCGACCACATGCACCTGCTTCTCACGAGATCCGAGAGAGCAGTCTCGTCGCAGCACGGTCGTAAAAGGTCCGGAGGCTCGGCGACAATCGGGAGTGTCCACATCGTGGAAGACCACATCTCGATACATAATCTGCAAAAACTCTACCTCTGCAACTGCTGCGGATAGGGCCTGCGTCTCTCCAGCCAGAGTGGATGGCACTTTTCGTCTTAGCTTGGACGACCTCCAGCCCAGAATCGAAGCCCGGACTGCCCGGTTGTCCAGCACGGATCGATCGGCCGCCAGGACCATCCAGGCCCCCTGCGTGGGATCGACCGGCAGCCCGCGCTCGTCATCCAGGCCGTCGGTGGAACCAATGCCACCGGCGTCCGAGAAAGACAAAAAGGCCATCCTGTCTGGATCGAGTCGCCACACAGTGAGTCCCCTGGAAGCCGTAGAACGTAAATGGCGAGCCAACTTGTTGGCGGTGATCACATCCCCGGTCCTGGCCTGGTTCAGCTTGCTGGCCAGGATGCTGGCTACACCTGCGGCTTCGGGTCGGACCTCACGGCCCAACCAATTGAACTTGTACACGAGCGACCGCAGTGCCTTGAACTCATGAGGCTCCAGGGGGGAATCCTTGCGAGCCAGGCGCCCCTTGGACATGGACAGAGGGCGGATCTCTTCTAAAATGTACTTCTCCATGTCGATCACTGCCTTGTCTGGGGCGACGGTGATCCTTCGGCCAGCAAAATCCACCGCGCCGGCCTGGCAATCCCGATACTTCCCGAATTTGAACCTGGACTCCAGGACCCCCCTAAGCCAGTCCCGGGAGACCTGGTCTGAGCTTCCGATGAAGAAGTCATCTACTTCCAGCAGCATCATGTTGGCGATGCGCCCCTTGTCATCGTAGCGCATCCACCAGCAGGGCTCCAGCAGGGACCTCACGAACCCATGGGCCTCCAAATACTTGACGACGGTACGCCTCCAAGCCATAGGGGCATCGTCCAAACCGTAGACATTGACCAAAAGTCGAATCAGGGACCCGGGTTCCAGCACGATCCCCTCACAGGGCTCTACGTAGATCTCGCCCTGTGCTCGATGCATTCTGTCCGACTGACAGAAAGCATTCTTGACGTCGGCGATATCACATAGAAGACCCAGGTTCATGGCTATCTGGATAAACATCATAATAGACGATGTCTGAGGAGTGGGAGCATAAACTTCGAGGGCTCCTGAGTCAGGGTCCTTATGCCCATGGACGCACCACCTCGACTTAGCGTCGGGGGCGGCGAAGGTGCCCTCTTGGGGCTTCCAGCGGCGGACCATCCGGCTCGAGATGATGCGGTCTGGCTGCTCACGACGGATGACTCGTGCCTTGCTTGGAGCCACCACCTCTACCGCACCTGTCGCCTTCATGGCCTCCCACTCTTTAGCATCGGACGCATCGAACTTGGCCCGATCGGCGGGGGATAGATTTCTCAGCGAGACCTCGCCGCCTCGGCTGGCAGCGAAAGTGCCTCCGTCTTGTGCCTCGGCTCTCGTCGGCTCCTGCTGCTCAGCCGGGACGGTGGCAACGCCGTCGTCCCCGGGAACCACCCAAAACACTCCTTCGGAAAGACTCTCGCCTCTCGTGGGAGAGCGTGACCGGGCCCGAACCCGTCCGGCCTCGATCTCTTGGACCCTGTCAGCTACTGACACGCGCGGCTCGGAGCCGGCGGTGATCCTGGTCCCGGACCCCAGCCCTGGGGATGGAGACGGAGCGGGGAGGCCCGGGGGAGGAGAGAGATGAGGACCACCGCTTCCACTGGAGACCTGAGGGGCGGACGGAGACAACGACGATGGGTCGGCTGACTCCAGCTTCGCCCGCTTGAACTCTGGCGGTGAGCTGGAGGCTCGGGCTGCCTCGGCCCGGGCGCGGATGCACCAAGGCGCGTCCTCCGGCTGAGACAGCACCCTTCGGGGCCGAGGCGCTGAGCCCGCCGTGGCCTGAGGAGGCCCAGGAGGAGGTGAAAGAGGGGGGACAGTGAGAGGTGGAGCGACAGGCGGGGGAGGGGAAGGCGAAGGAACAGGAGCATCAGTAGGGGGACCAGGGTTCCCCTCCTCTCTCCCTGGCGTCACCTCTCTGGACAAATCTCCTGTCGATGGTTCGCTCTCGGCAATCGATGGAAGCCTGGTGCGGATGCTGCCGGCCTGTGCGATGTCCGAACCTGCCTG